CCTCTTGGACACCGCATATACCTACGAAAGGATTCCCTGTGCCATGTCGTCGTTATAGAGTAAATTAAGAAGGCTTTGCTCTGTAACAGTGTGTAGAAATATGTTCAAAATCATGTAAGTTTAATAATTTTAATTATTGAACGTATGTATTAAACTTTATTAATACTATATATTAATATAATTTTAGTTTAATAATCTTCTAATAGCATGCGTAGATGATTATCACAACCTCCATAGTACTCGTATTCCATCAACAACCTCTATTCCACAGATCACTCACATGGCTACTATATTATTTAATGTTATTGAAGCTTTACCTATTCCTTATAATTCGATTTATAATTTTTCCGTTCACAATCCTTGTGGTGTTGATGCATACCTTTTAAAAAAAATTTTCCAAAGACAATATGTATTTACTATTGCAAATAGTTACAATTCCGAAAAGTCATATTGGAATTGGGCATCTAATAAAGTAGATTTATTTGAGTTTTTAACAGTTCATTCTTATGATGTTAATATGGTTAATAAATATCATCGCAAATTTAACAAGACAAAATTAATTGATTGTATTAAGTTGGATTTAAAAAATACAAAGAATTATATCGAAGCCGTGAATACATTTTTAAGGTATGAATTTTAATAAATTTTATTTAAAATTTTATTTAAAATTTTATTTAAATTAAAATTATTATTTAATTTATTTAATTTAAAGCTTGCCAGAGATGAAGAATTATTTAAAAAATTATATTATTCCTCTTCCTGTGGATTTTCCAGGGCAGCTATTTATAAGAAAGGCGATTACAATGAAGTTAAAACTTAAAGAATTAACAATTCCTGAAGAAATCACGCATATAATACTATTTTTGGGTCCGCTTTATGTTTCACTTAACACACGAGAATCAGTTATGATAGCTTTTCATCCATTTTTTAATTATTTGTATAGATCAGTTTTTAGAAAAAACAAAAGCTTGCTGCAAAACCGAAGCTCTGGCGTATTAATTTATTGTTATATTTGGTGCATGAAAGCTGGCTTTTAATTAAAATATATATTATTGAAAGATTTAAAAATTCTAAAGATATTGCTTATATTACTTTTTTGGATTTATTAGATAATCTAATTCCTGCAGTCTTGGATGTTTATACATGCTTATTTCGGGAAAATCATTTTGAAGAATATGTTAGCACAATATTTCGATTATGGACTGTAATGCGATGATTTAAAAGACATAATTATGATAAAATTATGCTAGCCTTCTTGTCTGATATTCAGTATTGGAAAGCAATTGAACATTCAATAATTAATGTTTTAAAAATATGTTTGAATGCTTTTGACAAATACCTAGTTGAAAATTTTCATAGTTTGTTACGACATCATACTAATGCAAAAGTAACAACTGGAAAGTCCTTAAGAAGAGATGCTTTGTTCCTTGATTATTGTCAACATGAAACTACATTTATTAATTCATTTGAATTGCAACGTGATTATCTTTATAGTAAAAAGGATTTAGATGTTTTAATAAAACGGTCTGCTATTTTTTTGCTGGATTTTTTTAATAACTTGTGGTACAATTCAGGTAAAACAGAAATAAAAAAAGAAGGGAAATTTAAAAAAGACTACTATTATTTTCCGGGTATTCAGTCACAATTTTCACCTAAGGCTTTACCTCTCGGATACCATTCTAATTATTGTCCTATAAGTATAAAATTATGTGACTATTGGGGATGTACTAATTTATTATGAAATAATGGTCAAGTACTAATTTGTGGTCACGGTTATCATGACAATTGCTTTCAAATTTTAGGAAATTACTGTCATTATTGTTTTGAATTTCTTTCTAATTCAATAGATGAATTGTCACAATCGTATAATGAAAGATTACAAATGAAAAAAGATATTGATGATTGGATAGTTTCTGAAACTCAAACTGAATATGAACCTAATTCATTAGAAAATATTGAATTTACAAAGGAATATGTAGAAATTGATAAATAGCTGAACAAAAAAATTACAGGTACGTGATTTTATATTATACATAGCCATTTTTATTACTCCTAAGATAACTGAAAAATTATATGTAATCGAATTGATAAATTTTTGATATCTGCTGATATCAATAACTTATAAATTCTGATTTAGTAAATTTATCAATTCGGGTATCGGCAATTTTTTAGTTGTTTCAGGAATAATGAAAATTGCTGTAATAAAAAATATATATATATACTGTATATGTATAAAATTATTATATACTGTACTATTAATGTGTGTATGTATAATTTTTTACATATTATATACGTAGAATTTATAAATTATGCTCAAGTTCAAAATATCAATTCGATGAATAATCTGCCATTGGCAGATATTACTAATATGATTTAAACTTGAGTATAACGATATCAGATAGTTATCATTATCATAATAACCATGTTTTTCCTTCAGAATATGTTATGGATCGAACAAATAAAGATATATAACATTTATAATTCAAATAGTTTTAGCGGTATAAAAATTAAATATCACATGTATTATGTATTACATATATGTATAAATAGTAATTTAAAAAATGATGTGCATTAAATGTCACGTAAATGCATCACATGAAACACGGAAATTTTTTTTCGAAGTATGTAGCGATCTACATGTGCAGCTAATTCTATTGGTCAAAATTTTATAATAATGTTAGGCGGCTTACAACGTACAGTACTATGATTTCTGCAAATAAATAAATATTATGTATCTGATACGTATAGTATCAATAATTACAAATATTTCGCTTAGAAAGTTAACAAAAAAGAGCATATATATTACTAAGTTCAATTAGTGAGGTCATATGACCTCACTAATTGAACTTAGTAATATGACCTGTTATGACTTGTCATGGGCCAACACTGCTTTACTGTATACACGTGGTTCTCGATATTACGAAGCTTTTGATATAACGGAGCAAAGGACTGGAACCATGGCCTCCGTTATATCGAGAGCCACGTGTACCCCATACTCCCTCTTTGCCCCTCTTTACCTCTTTTACCCCCTCTTTTCGGGGTAAAAGAGGAGTATAAAGGGATGTAGAGAAGGAAAGAAGAATTACCTCTCTTGCTGTATATCTATTTATAACAAATATATAGAATTAAAATAAAAGGTCAGGCCAGTGTTTAAATTCAAAACTAAAATAACTTGCACAATTACGAGTAAAATTTTTTTGCACTGTTGCAAGTAAAAAAATTGGTTTACTTGTAATATAGTTTTTGCACATGCATCTTGTGTAAGCCAATTTTAAACATTAGCGGGCAATTGTTATAAAAATGAATGGAACAGCCAATCGAAATAGAGAATCACAATTTTCGGCAGGCAAAATCTTCCAGAAATTCATTATTTACACACACGTTACACATCTTTATACGACAGTACGTACGTACGTACGGTACGTACTTACCAGAATAACAGATAAAGTATTCACAGTTGTATATACCATGGTATCCCCGATTGCGATTATTAGAGTTATTCGCGCGAGATACATTTCTAGCCATGGGTTAGTGTACGATTATTTATCTTTTTTAAAAAAAGATAAAGAAATTATGTTCAGTTCTAATATTTGCGATTACGTTTATAATTGAATTTCAATAAAATTTTATCGTACCCCTATACGAGAAAATTTATTACGCTCATAGAGTTTAAATTTCTTAATAATATATAGTGTAATTTAGTTGATAAACCAAATTTTTAAAGATTATTTTTACAATCGTTATACGATTAAACAGTGCTTACCACTTTGCTCCGCATCTCGTTACTTTAGAACGGAACTAACCTCCGTTGACGTGTCCCTCCACCTTAACACGTGAGGATTATTCACAGAATCCTCTAGAAAAATCACGAAAATTTTAATGAACATTAAAGCAATTGAGCAACCCTTTACGTTCTTCATATCTATACAATAATATTTGGACAAGGCAATAAACATTAAAATGGTAAACTACTATGAAGTCTTAGGAATTGATGCCAATTCGACGGAGGAGGACATTCGTAAAGCTTATAGGCGCCAAGGTATTTGGGATTTATGCTTGCTGGCTCGAATTGTTTTTATTCTCTTATCGTTTATCACGAATGTCCTTACGATCTCTTGTAATTTCAAGCTTTGATATGGCATCCTGATAAGAATGTCCAAAATCGGGAAGAAGCTGAAGCCAAATTTAAATTGATTGCGGAGGCTTATGAAGTATTAAGCGACGGTATAATCCTCTACTAGTTTATGTTCATTAATTTTACTGAGACTAACTAATTAATTTGGTTTATTAGTTGAGAAAAGGAGAATATACGACCAGTACGGCGAAGAAGGCCTTAAAAACGGTGGCCCCACTTTTGAACAACGTCCTTTCCAAGTATGGGTTTATTTTTTGAACCTTTTATTTCTTCTAAATTTCTAAATGTCTTCTCATGCTTAATTTATTAGTTTCACGATCCTCAAGAAATATTTCGTCAATTCTTCTCTGCGTTTGGTAATACGAATTTTTAATTGGTTAATTTTAGAGTCTGTAAATTTGCATTGTCCTTATGAATATTTTCTTTATTTAGGTGGTGACCCATTCGGCGGTAATATGTTTAATCATGTTAATCATGATTTCCCCTCCCACTTTTCGTCAACATCGAGCTTCAGTAGCGGTCCGCAGTTTCGATCAGTTCATCCATTTGATCCATTTGGTGGATTTGGTGGATTTGGAGGTTTTCCATCTTCTTCATTTTCAATCTCAACCAATTCATTTTCTAGCGGATCTGGTAGCGGCGGGTTCATTAATAAATCTACCTCTACACAAATAATCAATGGGGTTAGAACAACTGTTACAAGAACTGAGGACGCGGAGGTAAGATTTATCTTAGAGTTAAATATTTATATTTTATCCAAGTCTTAGCCTTGTTGTTTCAATCAAATTAGGGCAATGTTACTGAAGTCACAGAATCATCTGACGGCACTAGTAGTCAAGTGACGTACAATAATAGAGTTCAAAATAATAGTTCGAGGTCTATAAACTTACCGATTCAGGATGGAGGTCTATCCTACCCTATGTTAAGTCAACAACAATATCTGCAGCAGCAAGAACCATATACGCAACGGCATCAACAATACAGTCGAACATCTTCAGGCCAAAACTCGGTGAATATTGGTCACAGAGGTAACGATTTCTGTTAATTGAATATCCTTATAATATTACCGTTTATTTTGTTCATCTTTCATTTCATTTTTCTTTAGATGACCATGCTCAGGACCAGCATAAATCTCATGGAAGATTTAATAATATCTTTCGTAAAAAATAGAGTACATTATATATAATCTACATTCAAAATTAGACACATTAATATGATCAGGACTTTGTTTACTCTATATTTGTCTTGATTTATAATTTTTTTCTTTCTTATTGTTGACATTTGTCATATACATGTTGAATTGACTTCTTTTTTTTTTTGCATTGCTTGTATTAATATTATCATTATTACTTCCATTTTTTACAATATAAAAAAACTATTATATAATGAGATCAAAGTGAGTTCACGAACTGACCGCCTTAGGATGAAAATTCTTTTTTACAATTACAGCAAATCGCCCACGAGATTGTGTATCCTACATATAGAGCATCGTCAATCAAAACGTACCGTCGTGAAAACATTATTTATTTTTTGTTAATAAGTTAGATCTAGCAATAGTTTAGTATATTACAATTTATCAATTTTCTAACACCGTTATCAAATGCAAATTATTATATAAGAAAATCTGTCCATTAATAGCGTAAAATCTGAATTTATAATTGTAAATAAATGTATTGAGTCTCGCACAATGGCATATTTTGATTGAAGACATCCTATATATAATCATGTCATGATAGACTTGTCCTTTAAAAATTACAATCTACCTTGGAATTCATCGGAATTCTAGTCGGCTGGCCGGAATACTGCCGGAATTGCCCCGAGATTACTAAAAATATTATTAATGAAATCATAGTCATCTATTATTAATGGATACGTATCCGTTTAAATTTAGTACAGTTTTAAAAGTTATTCTTTAAATTAAATTTTGTATTCCTATATTTATACTTCATTTTAATTTTAATATATATAATTAACTATATAACTTATTTTAAAGTTATATTAGTAAGTTTAAAATTTTGTTTGTTACTAAAAATACAAAAAAAAATTCATTAAATTGTACAGCGTAGACCATAGTACCCCGCATTTAACGGGCAAAATCCAAGTTAGTACCCGGTTACTATACTAAGCGATTTTTCATATGAAAAATTTTTTATGTAGGATATACCCATCGGGTATTTTACTTTTGACCATATGAGAGGGGTACTATGGTTCACCCTGTATGGTTTAATTAATAAAAATTTTAATAAAAGTGTAGACCTAATTTTTTTTGATTCTAATAATAATAAAATCATTAAAATTGGTTTAGTAGATAAAGCTATAAACAATTTAATTTTATTATACTTATATAAAATATATAAAAAGATTAACTCTTTTTAAACTTAAAACAGGTTTATTTAAACTAAAGTATTTTAAAAATACTGTATTCTTTATTTTTTTTTAATTATTTTAAGATTAAATTAAATTTAAAATAATTTAAAATTTTAAATTTTACAAAGAGACCTCTCTAAATACACTTACCTCGGACTATAGTAAAAAATTTCAAAAATGTGCATTTAGAAAGAGTGTGCATTTATAGAAAGCAAAATATATAGTGATATTATAAGCTGGGGCCAGACTATACTGTGCATTTAAAGTGATTTTACATAGAGAGTGCATTTAAAGAGGTTTTTCTGTATAATTTATTGCTATAGTAATATACTTTATTACTAGCTTATGTGAAGTGTTTACAAATTATTAAAATTAATGATTTGTAAGCATAGTTTAAAACTTTATATAAACTTAGAGTTGAAGATATAGGTTTGAAAAACAGATCTTTATTACTATATAACTATTATAAAAAAGTTTGCTATTTACTATCACTGGTAATTATTACTAGTATTGCTATATCTTTTTTTTTTTTTTTTCTAGTTAAGATGACCTCTTTGGCTTGAAAGCTTTTATTAGCGACTAGACGATGTTTTATAATACAATTACAACAATAGTACATCAAGCTACACATGCACTTTTGGTGTCCATTGGGAGAATTAAATAAGTGCAAATTTGCAAAAACCTGTGAAAATGCAGATTTTTGCAGAATTTTTTGCAAAAAACTGCAAAATTTTTTATATATTGAAATTTTGTGCAGAACTGTATTTAACTTCTGTAGCTATAGCTGGTGAGTCTGAAGTTTTGCACAGATTTTTATTTAATTTATTATTATTTTTTTTGCAAATCTGCGCAGAACAGCACTAAAAAATTTCTCTCGATGTTAGAGTGCAGGATATAATTTTTTATCAAGATAATGCCTCTTGCTATACTGCAATCTTAACCAAATATTGGTTTAGAAAGAATAAGATAAGAGCTTTCAAATGTACTCTCACATCCCCTGATCTAAATCTGATTGAACACCTGTGGGCTAAAGTAAAACCCCGAGCTATATATAAATAAGTTATAGTTTTTTGCTTATTTTTATACAAAATTTGGCTTAAAAACACTTATTTTGACCAAAATTTGCAAAATTTACTATTTAAAAACACAATGTTTGGTGATTTTCTAATGAAATTTTTTTTTAGTAATCTCTGACCTATCTATGTATAGCTCAGGGTCCTGCTAAAGTTAACTACTACTTGAAAAAGCTTCCTTTGAGTAAAAGAGATCTTTGGAAGAAAATTCAGATGGTGTGAAAGTAGATCAATTTTGAGACTTGCACAAACTTGATTTGTTCAATGCCAGAACAAGTTCATGATATTATTGGGGCTTGGGTAGCTATACTAGATAGTAAATATGTGGAGAAATTAAATAGAAAAAAAAATTGTTTTTTTAGTGTACAAAAAAATTTTTGTATTTTATATTTATGTTGCTATAAAAATGAGCAAAAAAGATGCAGTATATGAATTCAAATAAAGCTTGTATATCTAAAAAATTTAATTGATTAATTTTTTAATTGATGATTCTCTAGTTAACTGAAGAATAAACATAGTAAAACATGACTCAGTTTACTATATAAATCTAATATAGACCAAATATAAAATTGCTCCAAAGTAATCTTTTTTATACTAAGTTAATCAATATTGTCAATTAATTGAAAGTTGTAGAACTCATCTTTGCAGATTTAATAGTGGTTAAAGTATCAAATTGGCCTGGTAAGTGCCAATATATCTTTAAAACCATTTTTTTTACTATGTAAACTTCTTTGCAAACAATACATTGTTTGACTATTGTTTGCAAAAAAGTTTACATAGTAAAATAAATATTTTTAAAAGATATCTTGACACTTACCAGACCAATTTTGACGCTTTAACTACCATTAAACCTGCAAAGATGAGCTCTACAACTTTTAATTAATTGACAATATTGATTAACTTAGTACAAAAAAAAGTTTACCTTGGAGCAATTTCATATTCAACCTATATTAGATTTATATAGTAAACTGAGTCATGTTTTACTATGTTTATTCTTCAGTTAACTAAAGAATCACCAATTAAAAAATTTTTATTGGTGAAAGGAATAGTATTTACAAATAAAAAAAAAAAGTAAAAGGATACATGCGGAATTGCACAAGATAATTTGATCTAACAAATTTTTTTTTTGATGCATTATTTATAATCGCCAGTGTATCAAGTAATCTACAAAATGAAAAGTATTTACTCTTGCCATTAGAAGATAATTCAAATCTATTGGTGTGGTGACAAATGCAAAATAACTACTATACTTTAAGCTTCAGAACAACAAGTTTTCTCTGTAGTAAGTCTTGCTATTTCAACCAAAAGAAGCAAATTAGACGATGAATTGGCAAGAGCAATTCTATGCCTAAAAGTTAGGTTCAAAAAGAAATTTGCACTATGTAATTATTTTATTGCATTAAATTAGCTTTATTAAATTAACTTAGTATAAAATTTTATTAAATTAACTTTGCATAAAAAAATAAAAATAAAATACATTTTGTAATAAATATTTAGCATATATTTCATATTGATAAAATATAATATGTGTTTTTGAAGTATCGAAAAGTTTTTATCATAAGACTGATTCCAGGACCGAAAGAAGAACCAACCAGACTAATTAACAAATGAACCTAGTATCACCTAAAATTTTCCGATAATTCATTTTTGTATAACAAATAAAAATTTTTGTAATTATTACAAATCAATATACTACTTTTTTTGAACGATAAAAATTTTTACTTATTTTATGAAACCTTTTTGCAAATTGTGCCAAAAGCATAAAGGTTTAAAAGCTTTTCAAGGAAATAAGACTTCTTTCAAACGTTTAGTACATATTAGAAATAGTAAAAATGAAAGCATGTAAAAAGTAATGCTATTAACTTGGTATTAAAGACGATATGATTAATATGGAAAATTCTACAGATACAATTTACCAGTTCTTTGTAAGCATGGATAACATTTATGAAAATTTGTAAAGTGTAAATAATAATTAATTTAAGTACATAGATTGGTGAAATTTCCTTGGAGATAGAACAAGATCAGCATGAACAAAACATTGCAATTGCAAATAAAGTTGTCAAACTTGTTGAGCAGGGTGATGAATATATTTGAATAAGCACTATTCAAATTTGGACGAAAACAATTCTTAAAATATGTTATTTTATTTTATTTATTTATTTATTTATTTATTTATTATACTTTAAAATCTAACAAAATTAGCTTTTTAGGCAGTAGAATTTATTGAAAAATCATCAAATCTTAAACAAAAAAAATAACTAAATGCGGTTGAAAAAACCTTGATCAAAAAATGGTAAAGAATTTGGAGTAATTCGAAATACAACATTAAGAAAAATATACCTTATATTGTCAGTAGTGATTTTACAAAAGATTTATGCAATAATTCAAAAAAACATTTCAAATTATGAAATTCTCAGTGGCTATAATTTATTTGGTGGGATAAATTTCATTGCGCAAACATGTAGTGTTTATTTTTTATTTAAATCTAATCTTTATTAAGTATTTTTTTTTTAAATTATATAAAAAAAAATAAAATAAAATTTTGTGATTTACCCTTTATTGATGTATGAATTTTCATAAAGTATTTCATCTTGTCGGGAATTTTGATTTAAGTGCCATTACGTAAAATATAATAATGTCGGAAAATAAATTTAAAACCCGATTACGTACATGATTTTGGTGGTAATACTAGGTGGCTATAGTAGGCCAGTAAGCATAAAGTACATTTAT